AGCCAGGTATATATCTAATACGTAAATTAGATAGTTAATTTTGTAAATTACAAAAAATCTAATAAATTAGTGTAAGGTTATTAAAGTAAAATATATATATATATATATAAATTATAATAATAATACAGTAATATGTCTTAGTAAAATACATATACACGTATTTATATTTATTTAATATATAAATATCAGGTAATATTTGAAAATAATAAAATTTTATTATGGTACAAGGCAATTTTTGAGTAGTTAGAGCCAAAATGAATAATAAACAACATCGACAATAGAATGCTCATGAAAAGCTAATGATAATTGGTCATTATAAACAAGGCAATAGCATTCGAGCAACAGCATGCAAGTTTCAAATTAAACCAAAGCAAGTCCATAACTGGATTAAAAAGAAGAGTGAATTTTTATATACTATGTCTTATATTCGTCATTTATATCATGGACAAATCCTAAGTATTTTGAAGTTGAAAAGCTTTTAGTAAATTGAATACTTGAAATGCGTCAACAACATAAAACTGTTCATCGGCATATGATTCTATCTTGTGTTTATAATCAACAAGATATTTACAATCTTTATCTAGATATAGAAAAGACAAAATTTTCACATAAATGGCTAGATGGACTTCTTTCTCAAAATAATTTAGTAACTAGATGTAAAACTACAACAGCTTAATATTTATCTAAAAATTTTATTAAACCATGACAAGATTTTCTTAATTATATTTTATACAAATGACAAGAACATGATTATTTCTTAAACAATATTGGTAATATGGATAAAACTTCAGTTTCATTTAATATGATCTCAAATACAACTATTGAAACAAGAAGTCGATCAGTTCCTATTTTAACTATAGAACATGAAAAAACATGCTTTACCATTGTTCTTTGCTGTCTTGCAAATGGGATTAAACTTCCACCATTGGTTATATTCAAGCCAGTTAATAATCCACGACAAAATTTTCCTGATGATATTTTTGTACATGCAAATCCAAAGAGATAGTTAAATGAAAGAGAAATGCTCTAGTGGTTAAATAATATTTGGGTCAGCAAAAAAATTCTTTTCGATCACTTCTTGTATTAGATTCATTTAGAGGGCATAAAACTGATTATATAAAAGAATGTGCAGCAAGAATAAATACTGGCTTGGCAATTATTTCAGGAGGGCTTACCTCTCAACTTCAACTTTTAGATGTTTCAATTAATAAAATATTTAAAACTAAGGTATTTTTAAAAGCTAACTAAATGTAACAAATTAGATTTATTAATTATTATATTTTAGATTTGGAATAAGTATAACAATTGAATGTGCAATGCACTAAAAGAATATTCTCTTTCAGGAAAAATCAAATGACTATTATACTCTCTTGTAGCCGAATGGATTTCAATAGCATAGAATAAATCAATCCAGAAGTAATTCATAGATCATTTCAAGCATGTGGAATTTCAAATGCTGTTGATAGATTTGAAGAAAACTTGCTTTTTGACTATGAAAGAGTCAAAAATAATCAAAATATCAATGAAGATTAAGCTGAAGCATTAAATTTGCAAGATATGAATGATGAAATGTATGAAGAAGGAGAAGAAGACATAACATATAATCAGAATTAAATTTTTTAGATATTTATTAGTCAAGTATTTATTTTGGTTTAAAACAAATTAATTTTTAATATTAATATTCAATAATTTAAAATAATTCAAAGGCGAATTTAAAAAACACTCAAGTGCAATTCAAAAGCAAGTTTAAAAATACTTGAGCAAATTCAGCAATAATTCAAAAGCAAATTCAAAAGCAATTCAAGAGTAAAATCTGAAACAATTCAAGTGTAAATACGAAAACAACTCATGAACAATTTAGTAAACTGCTAGTAATTACATAATTTGCGAACTAATAAAAAGAATGTGAATAATTGCAATTTAATATAAGCAATATAATAATAAAAGCATATTTCATGTTTACAATAATGAAATTAATAAAAGCTTTGTTATTAAATCAATTTTAATTAATATATTAACCTGAAATTTTAATACCTGGGTCTTATACAATATTTTTGAGAGTTTTTTTGATAATGTATCTGGGTATAATTCAATGAGGGATATTGTATTAGAGGGTACTAAAGGCAGTGCGGTACAGTATTTAAGGCCATGCATAGTTAATTTTTCGCTTTGCATATCATAGAATCAGAAAATTAAGTTGGTAATCAAATTTTTTTTATCAGTTCTATCAGACAATTCTGGAAAATAAGGTTTTTATCAGGTGGTTTTACTACAAAATCCTGAAAGACAGATTCCCGAAAGGACCCAATATTGACAAAGTTAGCTGGCATTAGTTATAATGCTGGCCAATTTAGTTGGTATTATATTCTTTTGGGAAAATAGTTTTCAAGATTTTGTGATAAACCCTCATCAGGTGGTACCAGATTAATTTATGAGAAAAAATTAAATGCAAAAATAGAACAATTGGAACCTAAAAAAAAAATCTCGAAAAATTGAAAAATGGATCAGCGGGTAATACAAAATGAAAAGTTTTCTTTGTGTGGCCTTATACTGTGTACATAATAGTTGAAAAACAAATTTAAAAATAAATAAAAAAAAATATATGAGCTTTATTTCATTGCTAACCAATATAAAAGATTTCTAAAACTAAGATGATATTAAGTTTTATTAACAAATTTAGCTTTTCCTATTTGATATTTTTTTGATTTGATCCAGTGTCTTTTTTAATTGGATCCGGCGTTTTAGCTCGTGTTTTTATAAAAATAAAATAGAATATAAACATTTACAGTATATGTATAGTCAGTGTTGGCACTGGACATATGTCCAACTATTTTTTATGTTATTGGACTGGACTAGACTTTGGACATAATACTTGGGCATATGTCCAATCCAATATGTCCAATAATTCTAAAAAATATAAAAAAAATTTTTGATAAAAATGTGGCCTAATAAAAATATTCCCTTGAGCAATTTTACTATATATTTCACTAATTTCTAGCTCTAATATAAATGCTAACCTTAACTTTAATGAACTTTTTATAAATTTTATATTTATCATATGATCATGACTTTCTCGGTGTGACACTGTGAAGATTTTTAATTGGCTATTTGTCACATAATTTATATATTACACAATGTCCAATGTCCAATATCTTTTTGGTTCAATGGATTGGACTGGACATGGACTGGACATTGGACATGTCCAATATCCAACCCAATACTGTGTATTGTTGACTATACAAAACTTCTAAAATAATAACTTATCTCTATAGTATATTTAGTAAACTGATATGTTTCAAAAGTATGAGAAACCAGCAATAATGAAAAAAATTTATTTTTAATAATATTTTTATCTGCCCAATTAGGCCAACATTCCAACCCTTCATCCTCAATCATATAATCTGACAAATTTATATTTCGTTAATATTTTTACTAGTACAGTGTGGACAACCTAGTCTCAACCAATAAAAATTTTTAGTGGCCAAATTCAGATTTTATTTTTTATATATATAAAGAGGCCAATTTGAAATTTTAG